AAGGTTGGCGGGGGGCAGGGTGGCTGGGCCCAAGGTTGGCGGGGGGCGGGGTGGCTGGGCCCAGGGGGTGTGGGGGGTGGGCTGAGATGGGAGAGGGAAGGAGGTGGCTGAGATGGGGCTGTGTGTGGTGCAAAGGGGGATCCCAGTTCCAGCCTGCTGACTAAGCTCACATTCTTGTTCTCTCCTCCCCTCCCCCCATTCTAGGTTGGCAGTTGTAAATTTGAGGGCCATGTGCAGAAATGGCTGGTGACCGCGAGGAGGCTTTGGGCAGCGATATCTGCCCCATCCCCATTCCCCTGTGAGGGCAAGTTAGTAGAGCATAGTCCAGGCAAAGGCACACAGAGCCATAGTCCACCCCCGCTGTCAGAGACCGTGAACACAAGCCCCGGTGTCAGAGTCAAGTCCTGAGGAGACCCCCCCCCCAAACCCATGATGCCATAGTGAAGGCACATTTGCATGCTAAGGGTACAAGGCACATACAGCGCCTGACCTCATAGAGACTGAAGCACATTAAACATGGTCACTGACCCTTGTTCAACTTCAGTGGCATTTCCTCAGCTACTTTACTGAGAAGCTGTAGGCTGCCCATGTAATCCTAGCCTGAAAACGACTTTTGTATCAGGACCTTTGAGGATGAATAATACCAGTTTGCCTTCGCTGGGGAACCTACCACAGTGGTCAAGAGTAGGACGACTGGATAAATCAAGCCATCTTCAACTTGGCGTCGAGAATGACCAGGGACCTCAGCCTCACTCTCAGTCCCAATCTGTTGAAGTCTGGAAAAAAGACCCACATAAACTAGTCATGGATTTGGAGAGAAGCCTGAAGTTCCTGCAGCAGCAGCATGCTGAGACCCTAATGAAGCTTCATGAGGAAATTGAGTATCTCAAAAGGGAAAACAAAGGTGAGGTGACTTTCCATGTACAACCTTGTATAGATTCTGAAAGCACTAGATGAGAGATTGGAGAGTTGTCACTGCAAGTCAAGTAATCTTTGATCTCTTTTTCCTCAAACATGCTAAGTTGTGAATTAATTACAATGAATGTAGGTTTTGCTTCTGCAAAACTTTGCTTTTATACCCCCACATTTCTTCTTCCATGTCGTCTCTTTGAAGAGGTCCCTGATGCCATTTGCTTAGGCCTACCGTTCCTTGTGCTTTTCACAAGAGTTTTGTTTTGAAATTGTTAGAAAATATTTCCTAACACTTAGACCAGGAAGAGCCCTCACCCCCCTGCATCCCTCCCTGCCCCAGCCCAGAGCCCCCTCCCGCACCCTGAACTCATTTCTGGCCCCACCCCAGAGCCCGCACCCCAATCTCATGAGCATTCATAGCCCGCCGTACAATTTCTATACTCAATGTGGCCCTCGAGCCAAAAAGTTTGCCAACCCCTGAGCTAGATGTTTGGGCTAGTAATAAATCCTTGTTCATAGTGCAGAATACACAAACTAGTTTCATTCAGTGTGACCTGAGTTATGCTATACTTGTGTGCATACTTGTCTTAAAACAACTGAAATAATTTCTTTAACTCTACTTCCAAGCTCTGCCCCCTTCCCAATATTAGGTTTCACATTATGGTTACTCCCTCACCCTTTCTGAGCCAATACGTTTATTTTACATTTTTAGTGAAAAAATTTTCAGTGTGTCAGAAATGTTGAAAGCTGACGTGAGTGACATTCTCTAGGGACAAGCTTAGCTTTACTCTATAATGGGAAAAGGGAAATTAAGGGGGTATAGAGAGAGTTCAAACTAAATTATGTTCTTATTTGATTACAGAGCTTCATTATAAACTCATAATGAATCAGTCGCTGCAGGTAAAAGGTAGGCTCCGCTTTTTACTGTTCTAGAAGTAGGATGATCTAGTAAGTGTCTTATCCCCTGGAAGTCCCTTGGTCTCCCCTCATTAATTTTATTAGTAATAGACATTTTGCCTTGGTGCTTTGTCCATTTCCCAGTCCTGAGAGACAATCTTGGAAGTGTCACCTCCCCTCTGCAATGCAGAAATGTTCTAGCTCTCTGGTGACTGAAGACTGCGTACAGTGAACGCAATATTGCTGCTTTCATGTCAGAATTCAGTTTTCATGGATTTGTAGGGGAAAATGGAATAGCTAAGTGTGGCCTGAGTTTCATTATTCTGATTGAGATGTGAGTTGTCTGCCCTAAGCCAACACATAGGTTGGCATGATTGACAGGTTACAATCTGAGTGGGTTAGGTCAACTAGGAAGCATATTAGTGAGCTGTGAGAACCTTAGAGACAGTACTTGCCTGCACTATAATGCTCTTCCAGTCACATTATTCTACAGTTAAGACCCTAAGGACCCCTCTGTACTAGAAACTTTTGCCAGTATAGCAAGAGCAGTTAAATGTGATTTTTTTGCGAGGGGGTGGGGGAGAGAAGAGGGTTAGGAGGTGGCAACACTTTTATACAACAAAAGCCCTGCTGTAGATGCAGTGATACTGGCAAACACATTTTTTGGCAGTATAATTTATTTTGCTCGCCAAACATTTATAAGATATACTAGCTAAAGCACTGTATGGCTGATATAAGTTGCATCTCTACCAGGAGAGTTTGGACAATATTGCTAAATTGGCAAAGCTTTCACAAGTACAAACATTCATTGAATGCATCTCATAATAGTTTTTTTCCCTTAAAACTTTGGCTTCTGGAATGGTAATTACATGATAATGTTGGTTTCATTAAAAATTTTTCTAACTTTCATAGCTCTAGAGAACAGCTTGTAAACATGATCCCTACAGGCTCAAAAACCAGAAGGGAAATAAAAAGAAGCCCCAATTTATTATTTTGCAAAATCTCATGATGTGTTAGGGCTTGACTTACAACTTTAGAATGTTTGGGGGTTGGCAATACTGAATCTTTCACCCATGAGGCAAATCTATATGCAGTCCATTAACTTGGTAATAATAAGTTCAGATCCTGGTGGAGAATATTTATTACTTTTATGCATCCATCATGCCAGATGACCGAAGGGATCTGTACCTCCACAATCGATCATAAGAAAAGCCTCACCAGAGATGATGCATAATCAAATGTTCAACCTAAAATGCACTTGTGCTATGCTCTGAAGGTCAATACTCACTCTGGCAGATTGCTAGAGGAAGCAAGTTCTACAGTTAGGAACCCTGCCCATAAAACTACCCTGCCACATGTCCTCAACACTGCATATCTAGGATGTCAACGAAAGTACCTTAGCTTACCTCAGTTACTGTGATGGTTTGTAGGGAAAGCAGCACTTGTGGAAATAGCTGGGTCCCAACACATGTTGCACGTTATAGATTATTATTTATTTGGTGTATGCAATCTGGTCAAGTCAAGCCACAGCATTCTTATCAACAATGTTCAAGGCACAAAGACCTCCATTTTGCAGTCATTTTGCAGTCCTCAACAATGTATATCATGGTTTGTGGCTGCCCACGGTGACATAGTGGACTGTCTCTAAAATGCCATTGAAATTCTGCTGCAGCACAAATTCCATGTCTGGTACCAAACCGGTTGAGAAGGCTCCATTGCCTTTGTGGTACATCAAACCCGGACTTGATGCTAATTGGGGTATGAGACAAGATAATTATTTGTCACTTTCTCTGTGGATTATGAAACTTACCACACATCCTCTACTGTAAATCCTTCACCCAGTAAACGTATCCACAGCGGGCGCGATGAGGGCAGATGACCATGTGGTGGATTAAACAAGTCTTTAGTTAATGGTAGATATGGTATATCACATAATTTCATCATGAACTTTACTATACTTTCCTCTCTGTGAAAACTGGATGGAGTAATATTGCAGAGAACCGGTAACCATGGTAGAGGAGAAGATTTAAGTGTGCCTGAAATAATACGCATAGTAGAATTAAGTTGTACGTTGATCATCTTTGTGTGAGACAAGTGAGCCCGTACTGGAGTGAAGTACTCCATCGCTAAGTAACAGAGTGCCAAGGCTGACGTGCGTAATGTTTGGGCCTGGGCACCTCCTATTGTTCCAGCCAATTTTCCGAGCAGGTTAATGCGCATTTTGACCTTAGTTGCTGTCTTTGTAAGATGATCTTGATATATGAGAGTGCTATCCAACATGACACCTAGATGAATCGGGTGTGAATCATGCTTTATTTGCTGGCCATTGAGAACTATATTCAGCTGTCTGCCCGCTTATGCATGATGTAAGTGGAAGAAACTTAACACAGTCTTACTTCCACTTGGTATCAGGTGCCACCGATGACAATAATCGGCCATAGCCACCATATTTGCATTCAAAACATTTTCAAGTATGTCAAAGGAGTGTGACTGAGTGCCGAGGCATATGTCGTCTGCATAAACAAACTTGCGAAATCCGGTATACGGTAGGTCATTCGAATATAAGTTAAATAGTGTTGGAGATAATACTGTTCCTTGCGGGAGGCCATTCTTCTGGTGCCTCCAAGTACTTATTCTATCACCAATATGCACATGGAAATGGTGATTTCTCAAAAACAGAGCCATTGCACGTACAAACCAACTTGGCTTAGTTCTGGGCAATTTCACCAAAAGGCCAATGTGCAAAGCGTATCATATGCCGCAGTCAGTTCAAGAAAAACTGAACAGTCTTCAGCTGATGTTGGAAGCCATTTTTTATTAATGTTGTAAGTGCCAGCACTTGATCACATGTACCATTACCACAGCAAAAAACAGCTTGCTCTGGTCCCAGCATGCCTTCCACATATGCCTTCTTTGTGAAATCAGACACTCAAGCACCTTAAAACAGATGCTCAGAAGTGAAATTGGTCTGTAGCTTGAAGGCAAGTGTGGATCTTTCCCAGATTACAGCAAGGCAATGATGTTCACTTGGCGCTAGATTCTAGGCAGTCTGGATTCCCGCAGAAGTCTGTTGAAAAACTGAACAAGCCATTCCTGAGCGTGAGGACCCAGATGTTTTCATGAATTCAGGTGCAATCTATCATATGCAGGAGCTGAACCGGTTTTTAAATCATTCAGCACTTTATTTAATTCCAGACTAGTGAATGGCTCCATCCTACTATCGGCAGGATTACTTCTTAGGAAATAGAACAGGAGTACTTGTGGCACCTTAGAGACTAACATTTATTTGAGCATAAGCTTTCATGGGCTACAGCCCACTTCATCGGATGCATGTAGTGGAAAATACAGTAGGAAGATTTTTATATATATATATATATATATATATATATATATATATATATATATACACACACACACACACACACACAC